GTTTATTATTTAGGGAGCATTATAAATAGTTATGTTTTTAAAAGAAAAAAACTACTATTGTTATAAATAACACATTCAATTGAACTAAATTATGCATGCCTATTTAAATATATCTACACATGGTTTGTGTATATCGTATATATATATATACATATATATTATTCATACCTTCGGTGTATAGGACGCAAGCAGATTTTGACATCAGATTTTGGAGAAAAAAGTGTCTTATACACCGAAAAGTACGGTAATTCAATTTAAAAATAAGTAGAAAATGTCACCAATACATAATTTTAGTAAATAGCTAAGATATATCACTTAATTCATTTAACATCAAAAACTAAGTGCTGTCACCAGTCCATTATTTTCCCAACTAAGCAAGAGGTAAGACTTAGTCTATTTAGAAAATAACTGAGAACTGTCAACAGTACATATTTTCACCTATTAACTAATACTCAAATCATTTCTATAAATTGCTAACAACTGTCAACATTTCATATTTTTCACATCTATGTAAAAAATAGGACTTAATTCATTTTTAAAACATAACTAAGACCTGTTACCAGCACTTAATTTCAACCACTAACTAAGAAGTATGACTTAATTAATTTAGCAGTCCACAGTTTCAACAACTAGCTAGGAGGTATGACTTAATTAATTCAAATTAAGAATGACTAGAAACTGTCCACAGAACATAATTCAAAACTAAGTAATGTATATGATTTAATTCATTTTTTCAAAAATAACTAAGAACATAATTTACACAACTATCTTAAAAGTATGACTAAATTTATTTTAAGAAATAACTAAGAACTGTCACCAGTCCATACTTTTAAACAAGTAGCTAAGAGATATGAGTCAATTTCTCTTAGAAAATATCTAAGAACCCTCACCAGTGCATGATTTCCACAGCTATCTAAAAGATATGACTTGATTCATTTTAAAAATAACTAAGAACTGTTACAGCACATGTTTCAACAACTTAGACTCAGTTCATTTTAAAAGTAACTAATAAATGTACAAAGTCATAATTTTAACAACTAACAAAGAAGCATAACTCAATTAATTTTAACAACTAACTGAAAATTCGATTATGAGGAACCCACTTTGAGACTAATAATGCTTGGAGACGGCTTGAATGGGTAATGAAGAAAAACTTTAATATAAGTTTAACATAATAGCAAATGTACAATGTTTCGACAAGGTTTTGTCATCATCAACTAACTAAGAAGCACAACTCAATTCCTTTTTAAAATATTATTGAGAACTAGCTCTTATTGGTACATATTTTCAAGAATTAACTAAGAGGTATGATTTAATCTATTTATAAAAATAACTTATGATTTAATTTATTTATTAAAATAACTTATGTTTAATCTATTTATTAAAATAACTTATGATTTAATCTATTTATTAAAATAACTTATGATTTAATCTATTTATAAAAATAACTAAGAACATAATTTTCACAGTAAAAAAAAAATTGTAATTAATTATTTTTTAACAATAATGTTAGAAATGTTACCAATATTCTTTAAGAAATTAATGAGTATGACACTCGTATGTTTAACAGTAAACTATAAAAGATACATTTACTATCCTAAATACACAAGCCAAGAATATGTTCCTTCAGAGAATTTTGTAATAAACTAAATGATGGTTTCATTGTTAGGATAGATGTTATCTTATGGGTTTTATAAATACATTGAAGTTGTTACCTTAGAGCTTCATTTGTTTGTGTTTAAGAGCAAAGTTAGAGATATATATAAGTTATCATTTTATCAAGAGTACGTCTAGCATATCTTTCTCCATAAAGTTACTATATCAACTGGTTTCCCATCAATCTTTCCACCTGGAGGATACAGATTTGAAAAAGATATTACTAGTTATTACCTTATAAACAGGTAAGTCCAGCATATCTTCCTCCATGAAGTCAATATCACGGGATGTCACCATACCAACCAGTTTTCCACCAACCTTCCCATTTTCAGTAATTGGGATTCCACAAAAACCATATTTTTTCTTGACTTCAAGTACATCTTTCACTTTGTCATTTGAACATAAAATCACAGGATCTTGAATAAATCCATGCTTGTACTTCTGAAAAATTAAAATTAGTGTAACTTTTTATACAAGCTTACTTTATAATAGCAGCCATTTCTAAGTTCAGAAAGTATTACTTTCTAGCCATTATGAATACAGGAAAAATCAGACAGTGTGCAGTTGTAAATATTTAAGAGTGGTTGGTTGTAATTAAGCACAAAACTACACCATGGGCTATCTGTGATCTGCCCACCACAGGTGTCGAAACCTAGTTTCTAGCATCGTAAGTCCACAGACATACTGCTGTGCCACAGGGGAGGGCCTTTAAGAATGGAGATTATTTCCATTCATTACTTGTTACATTTTAAGAGTTAATATCTGCATTCATTTTTTCACTGTGTTTTATATATTTCAAATGTTAAAATATGTATTCAATGTGCATGACATGTCTTAAATGTTTAAACCTGCATTCATCATGTGTGACACGTTTCAAGTGTTTAAACCCATATTAACTGTGTGTGTGCCACATTTCAAGAATTTAAAACTCTTATTCATTTTGTGTGACATACTTCAAGAGATCAAACCTATAGTCATTAGATGTGACATGTTTCCAGAGTTTAAATCCATTTCTTCAAGAGTTGAAATATCAAAAATTATAATGAGTTAATAATCAAAAGTGTTATTGTGTAGAAGCCTGTCATATTACTAGTTTGTAAAGCTTTCTTTTAACAAGTTTTTAAACATATTTGTTGTTTTTCAGCATTAATAACCATTAATATGTTTGAAATTATCTGTTACAATTTTCCTTAATAGTCATTTGATGTCATTACTTGAAGTACTGAATGAATTAAATGAATATTTATTAATCCAAGCATTTCTGAATTTTAAAAAAATGAAAAAAAAAAGTTCATGATTATTCTGGGAAGCTGCATTGTGAATTAAAGAAATGAACTGTTAAGTAATTAAAAATTACTTGTTTTTAATATCTAGGAAAACACAGAACCACAAGAAATTGTTGTAATGGGCTTGCAAAATTGTCAGTAAGCATTCACCATGTGATTTATTTTAATGAAGTTCTATTTTTCAATAAGTTTGAGTCAGCTATTAATCACAGTCAAAAACCCTTTAGCAAACAGTTATGGCACAATGAGGAGAAAGTAACAACTTATGGAATAAAGGAAGATAAACTGTCATATTTTATACTTTTCCATAATAATTAAGCATACACAGTGAAATTCAGTCACCAAATGATTCTCAGATGGTATAAATATGAAAACTAAGGATTAAAAACTTAAAACTGAAATAAGATATTTTATTAAAATGCACATTAACCAAATAAGCCAGTAACTTCACTTGGGAAAGACAAGTTTCGTGGACAATAAGAGGAAATGGAAGTTCCTAGGATTCAGACAAAAAACCACAGATTTTATGAATTTAAACAAAAAAAATGTGTTTTATGGATCACAAGAGCAAAAAAAAACTGGATTCCAATAGTAACAATATGCTTTGTTGTTTTCGACAATAAATATATTTCTTAAATTCCAACACAAAACATAGATTTCAAAGATTAAAAAATGGGTTTCATGGTCTCAACAACAAATGGATTTTATAGATTCGAAGAAAGAGCACAGATTTTATAGATCTAAAGAGAAGTATAAATTTATATATTTGAAAAGAAAGCAGAAATTTAATGAATTATAATGAAAATATAATTCATAGATTCCAACAAGAAGCACAGGTTTCATGGATCTCAAAAAAAAAAAACTCATGTTTCTCTGACAAGAACCATAGGTTATATGAATTCTAACAAAACTTAAGATGTCGTTGATTAAACAGGAAATACCTTTATGGTTTAAAACAGAGACATGGTTATGTAGATTCTAACAATAAACACTAACTTCATGGATCCCCATTCCAATTCATCCTAAAACTATTACTTTGCTCAAAATCAGAGATTACCTAAACAATTATCAGTTTCTGCAACCTTAGGTCTGGTCAGTCCAATTAAATCAAATACAGAGAACTGAGTATGTTATATTAAAATGATTTTCAACATTCAAATCTGCAAGTCATGTAACAACCACGGCCAATATCAGAGGCATTTTTAACACTTCCAACTACTTGATACCATTTTCTTAGGGGGCCCATCCATACTGATTAGCTACAGGTACAGAAATTTATAAGTTTTTTTTTGCATTACTGTGGGGGTCCACAACACAATGGGTTCATCAGTGCATTGCTCCAATTGCACCAACATTAAATATGCCACTGGCCAATATAAAGTCACAGTAAAAGAACAACATTTTTATATTGTTTGGCATTCCATAAGTAGTATGATGTCACCAAAAATTTATCATTTTTCAAAAGGGGTATTAACAACTCTTTCACATGCAAAATATTCATACACTCAGATCATAAGAATCTGTTCACATCAGGGACTTAGAATTTCCAAGAAGATATCTCGTGTCCTTAACTGTATTAACTGGAAAATAAAGAATATGGAACAATTTGAATTACTGGAAATATAAAGAAAGTTGCTTCCAAGACATACTAGTTTAACTACCACATATGTCATGTAGAGGGCTATTCAAATGAGCACTAAGAAACCATCATCCTCATACATTTGATGGATTATGAAAAGTTTCAGGGAGAAAGGGTGTTCTTTGAACATGACAACCTTACTACAGATCCTTTTTCAATAGAAACTACACTGCAGCTAGGCTATTGTCAAGATGCATAGTTGTCAGATAGAGCATGACTGCACATCACAGAAAACATGAAGTGCAAAATCATTTTAATATAATGTACCCTATTTCTGTATATCAGTCAAACCCAAACAAAAATATCTGTACAATAACTAGTTGAAACCCACATTTTTAAACTCTATATGTTTCAGAAGCACTATTAAATAAATAAATAAAATGTTAATCTAGTCTCCAACTGCTCTTTATGATACTTACCTTTACCTTATGCACTTCAGCAGCTTGAAAGTCAGCACTGAAGTTATGGTGAATGAAACCAATTCCTCCACACAACTAAACAAAAGAAACTGAGATAATCCTATTTCTTCCTCTTGTGTTAACATAAAACTAGAGAAATAATATATAAACAAGAACTTTCTTCAAACGTTTTTTTCTAAGAAAGTACAAAGAATAAAATAAAAAATTATGGAAAAATGAAAATATTAGTTCTCAGAGATGTTAGAGCTGGAGGCGCTGTAGCACCCAGACTTTTATATATTTCAGTTATATAGCAGCTGTAAATTATATTATCATATTAATTTTTTAGGTGGCATGCCCTCAGAACCCCTAGATTGGCACAGAAGCTGCTGTTACGTTTCCGTTCGTTAGTTAATTTTCCGTAACTCCGTTCCGACGAAACATTAGCGACACAAGTCCTTTCTTAAATAAAACTGGTTTATTCTTTCCGAATACAACTTTATGATACACTTAATTTCAACAGTCGCTCTATAACAAACGCTATAACTCACGAGCTCGACTTCAACAATACTCCGTTCAATTACACACTCTCTGACTACAGTTCAATTACTCATTACCTACACATTGTCCCGTCACGTTGTGGCCATCTTATATAAACCAACTATCCCCAATCTAGTAATCTCCCGACAATTCACGAACGTTCGAGAAAGAAGTGGCGTGATACTAGTCACGTGACCTCGCTGACGCAACACTGCTAAAAGCTGTTCCTTATACTTTCAATCTCTCATAGTAAATTCTGAATGTCTAGCCAAGCACCCCACTTTGCAACTCCTTCCTATACCACTGCCAATAGAAATATTTGCTGCATCTTCATTTATATGACATGGGTTAGCCCTATTTTAGAATGTAAAGAAATTCATCTGGTAACAACTAAAACTATAAGTATAACCCAGTATAAGTTATAATGGTAAGATAGTAACATATCGCTATGTCAAACAACAAATCATATTCTCCTAAAATATTGAAGTTGTATTAAATTTTAAAGAGGACCGACTGTTGATACCTGTTTATCACTATCAGTGTATTAAATGACAAATAATGTTGTCTGTAACTTTCAAACGATGTTACATGACTGCTAAAAGAACCACCTGGTAGCACAAAACGTTAAAATATACCATTTTCATTTTGCATATAACTTTCAAACTACGTTACATGAGTATATATAGAACCACCTGGTGACACATATCACTATGACAAATATATATCGTTTTGTGTAAATTTTAAATAACACTAACAGTGTATAAAGATAAAATACGATGAGACTGATTTTTTTTAACAAGGAGATTTACTATTAATCAAGTATGCAGCAGTAGAAAGAAGTTTTAATCGTGATATTGTTGAAGAGTAAAAAAAAAGAAAAAAAACGGGGATAAAATATTACCTCAAACCACTCACTGAAAAAATTAAGAAAGAGAGGTTTCTATTATCATTTACATCTGGTTTATATTGTCAAATAATGCAACAATTTAGAAAATAACAAATTGTCTTTCCGATTTATTAACCGATGATTGAGGTTAGCCAGATTCTTAATATACCTTAAAATAAAATTGATTTAATGAAAAACAAACCTCGTATATACAAAATAACATATGAATGTGGGAATATTTGTATAAGACAGACCAAAAGAAATTTCAAATACAGAATAAATGAGCATAAAAGAAATATTGAAAGTAGTAATACAAAGATCTCACCTTTAGCTGAACCTATTAATGAAACTAAATAAATGATTAAATGGGGGAAAAAACTGTTATTTTGTTAAACCATGCGATCGATCATTAAAGCTAATAATATCTGTGAATCTATAGAACTAATTAAATATAGTAAAAATAACTTTAACGTATTAAATAAGGGTGAAAGAACAGAGGATAATGTTGTTAATAGATGGCGTGAAATTATTGAAATTATATTTGTATGTAAATGTTATCATGTTGTTTTTGAAAAAGTATATAAAAGTCTTAACTCTTGCGAAATGTTACTTTCCTTATTATGACGCAATAAGAAGTCTAAACATGTAGAATGTATGAGACTGTTCCCAGTCTCACGGTATTTTATCTTTATAAAGTAGCTTATTAAGTAAATATTTTATTGTAATTTAAGAATGGTTTGTTTGTTTGTTTTTGAATTTCGCGCAAAGCTACACGAGGGCTATCTGCGTCAGCCGTCCCTAATTTAGCAGTGTAAGACTAGAGGGAAGGCAGCTAGTCATCACCACCCACCGCCAACTCTTGGGCTACTCTTTTACCAACGAATAGTGGGATTGACCGTCACATTATAACGCCCCCACGGCTGAAAGAGCGAGCATGTTTGTTGTGACGGGGATTCAAACCTGCGACCCTCAGACTGCGAGTCAAGCGCCCTAACCACCTGGCCATGCGGAGCCCATTGTTTTGATTAATACCCGCTGGTGGTCCACAGTTTTGTGCTTGATGGTGATAGATTCCTTTATTTTTCCTCATTTGGTGTTTTCTTCTCTGTCTATTATTTTTCCGTTTTTTAGAGTATATTAGGTGGTCGTTTTCTGAACGTGAAAGGTTCCAGCCGATGTGTTTGTAGCACAGTTTTTAATGTGTCTTTAGTGTTCCTTGAATTTTACCTATAACGAGCATTGTGTTTCTTCAATGTATTGCTTACTACACTCACGCTGAGAAATATAAACCGTGTTCTTTGAGAGAGGATTTGAAACTTTGAATTATGCTTTCATAAGAATATTGCGTTGTGAAGGAGATCTTATGAAAACTATGGTGATGTTAAGTTTATTCATTTTTCTTCGAAGTTTCTCCTCGAGGACTGGTATGAATATGAGAAAAAAATATATATTTCTTTCCTTTGTGATTTGTCAAGTTGTGGTCCCTTAATAGTTCAGACGGGTTGACCATGTAGCATAATAATAATTTATTTAAATCTATTGTTCGCCAGAGAGAGTTTGTTATGATGTAACAACGATGTGTTGAGCAAGTAGCGTCTCAAATGTTTGGAAGAGTTGGGGAGAAATAGTGTAATACAGGGTTTCCCAAACATCTATCATCCACACCCCCTCTTTAATAAATATAGTTCCTTGCGCGTGCCCCTCTCTTTTTTAAGTGAGGGAAAGAGTGAGTTAAGTGACATGATATAATACAAGGATACACATTAAAATTATATATGTGTTGTAGTAATTACTTATTCTTTTCAGTAATAAAAAATATATTAAAACACTCAACTTTGCATTATTGCACAATGGATAAGAGATCACTTGCACCTCCCTGGGAGGGTGCGCCCCACACTTTGGGAAACATTGGTGTAATATATATATAAATACAAGTGTGTTAATGAGAGAATAAATAGTGGGTCAGTTAGAGTTAATCAGTTATTTAGTAAGTAATTAAGTCAGTGCTGTATACTTTTGTTGAATTTGTACGGTTCTTTTCTTTAGTGTGCAATGTTTACTCATGAATGGAAAATATATTGTAATCAACTTTATTATTTTTAATTCATGAGCTATGAAGTAATTCTATATTTTTTACTTCAATATAAACCTTTTTACTCTTATTGAAGTAAAAGTTTTTAATAGCTAAATATGTTCAAATGACTAGCTTTTTGTTTTACAGATGCCACATTGTGTGCTTACTTACAGCCATTGCTATAGCCATGTCAGACTCAGTCACTGTGTCCATCGGGGATGACACCAAAGGAGCTGTCAATGCAAGTTTCTTAGTCAAAAGGGTGGTAATATCCTATGGAAAAATATTGCATCAAATATTATAAGTAAAGACGAGCATAAATCAGAGCTCAAAATATAAAATTACGTTTACATGGCAAAACATATTTACCAGTAAGCAAATGTTTTATTTAAAAAATATTCATAACTACAGAACAATTTAATGTAGTTGAATCAAAACTGTAAAATAAGTATTCCTTATAAAAAAATATGTTAGATCATGTTATTTTCCACAAAGTCCAGTTAAAGAATTATAGAGAGATGAGTAGTTTGTTTGTAGTTATGCACAAAGCTACACAATCTGTGCTCTGCCCACCACGGGTATCGAAACCCAGTTTCTAGCGTTGTAAGTCCGCAGACGTACCGCTGTGCCACTGGGAGGGCAGATGAGTAGTTACCGTTTAAGATATGATATTTAAATATAAAGGAGCAAATTATTGATAAAACATGATTCCACACAATAACATATTCTGAAAAAAACTACAATAAAATATTACACAAGAACAATGTAGGTTTATAAAGTAGATTATCCCAATTAGAGCAAACATATAAACTTTAAAATTGAATTTGTAAATCTATCCGAGAACTGCAAAAAAAATCAAATTCAAATTAAAGAAACATTCCCAAATTAAACAGTAGATTTATGCATGTACAACAAAAATCCCAACTACTGATTCAAGAATCGCTCTCATTTTAAATTAGACGTCATTTCAAGTAAGGCTAAATATCAAACAGTGTTTCCAGAAACCTAAATCATTCCAAGTAAAATTAAATTTCCACTACTAATTCAAAAACACTCCCAATATAAAATGTAGGTCATTCCAATTACAGCAAAAAACCTCGTCTATAAATACAATAAACACCCCCACCCCCCCTTTAAACTGCAAACATAAGTTTTCGTAACAGATGAAAAATATAAATTCATCCCGACATTTATCAGGTGAATATACAAAGATGCTCCAAATTTAAACATATTTACTAAAAACTTTAAATTTAAACTGTAAACCTGAGTATTGACAACACAAGTCTTAGATACAAATACAGAAATATTTCAAGTTCTTATTATCAAATCAATCTATAAGCAAAAACTCCCACCTCACATGTAAAAATACTACAACGTTCAAATGCAACAATATGTACAAGTTTAAAAAAGGAGGTTGATTACGTTATAATAAAACTATTTTAGAACTTCATCACATTCTTGCAGTCCACGTTACCATGTCACGCCAAGATCTATCTGACAACAATGCCTCTTGAAAGTAGACCTGCAGCATAGTTTCCGTTGCAAAATTCTCCGACGTAAGGCTGTCGTGTTCAGAGCTCACCATTCCTTCCTGCATGGTTTCCTAATCCATCGTGTGTACCAGAACAACAGTTTCCAAGCACCCGTTTCAACAGTTTAATCCCAGAGAAATCTATAAGTGCTGTATCGATCAAGTTGACAGGTATGTCTTCGTATGGAATAGCATGAATACCCATTTCATTCTTCAGCTGTTTGAGGTATGTGACGGCTGAACTGATATGTCGTGGAAGCAGCTTGTGTACACATAATTTGTGTCGCTTCTCCAGGCGAAGATCCTTCTTAATTATGATGTGTTCTGTTGCCTGTGGAACATGGATGGCTTTTGCCACTGACCTTTTTGTTTGTGAATTCTCGCCTGTTAAAAAATGCCGCATTGTGCATACCACGACTGGGGTACGAATTGTTGCTGGTCTCTTTCAAGACGGTCCTGGTGTCCAAGTTGGGCCATATTACTTTATTTTTCATAAAAATTATGTACAAAAGTTACCCTCATCTTGTAAATTGTAAAATTCCTGGTCTGAACATACCTTTATGATATGAGTGTATTGATAATTTACATCTGAAAGAACTGTCACATAACTTTCCAAAAGCTATCAATCTTCAGTTTTACCACATTACTTATGAATCGAGAATTACTGTAAAAATATAGTTCTGATACAATCCGTTCCACCACTGCCTCATATCAACTCTGGCTTTCACGTGAGTTGCTGATTTTAGTATTCAAAATATTATTAATATAACGTACTCAACCGTCCGTTGAACACTAATTTCTATATTGAAGCACAATCTGTACTAACCTGTATATATGACAGGGTAGTTAAAACAGTTAGTTTACACTCTTTACCTGGTTTACTTTCATATCAGTTAGCACATTTTTTTAGAGTTGAGAAGTAACTTTACTTACCACATCATCTGAAGTAAAGTCAATGTAGCCAGGAAGAATAAGAAAGTCACTGAAATAATTTAACATTGCAAAAAATTAACCACATCTTATCATAAACGTAACACCTTAAAATCATTTATATAATTTATTTATGTAAAATGTTTTTCTCACATTTTTTGATATGAAGTTTTCTGTTAGAGGTTTTATTTCAAAATATGTGCCTAATCTGATTTTTGAAAATTAAAACCAAGAAACAGACTAGTCTTATTGATCTCTAAGCAGAAATATTGCTAATTCGTTAGTTAAGAAACAAAGAAGCGACCCCCCCCCCCAACAACAACGTGCGAGGTATGGCATGTCTGGTGGTTAGGGTGCTCGAATCGCACTCTCCGGACCATGAGTTCCAATCCCATTACCGAACATGCTCGCCCATTGTCGTAGGAGCGTTATAATGTGACGGTCAATCCTACTTTTCGTTGGTAAAGAGTAGGCCAAGAGCTGGCATTAGGTGTTATTGACTTCCCTCTGTTCTATCTGAATTAAATACGGCTAGCACGAGTAGCCTTCGAGTCGCTTTATGTGAAATTCAATAAAGAAACGAACAATGTACAAACTGTTGTTTAAAATTAAAAGCTAAGGAGAAAACTAGTTTTTATCCATTTCTAAAAGAAAATACTATTATTTCGTTAGTTATGAAATAACCTGCAAAAACAATATATAAACTATTATCTGAAACTTAACGGGGTCATACTTTATGTTTTCCACACCTTTAGTTGAAAGGTCAAAATTTCAAAATAATGTTGTTTTTCATAGTTCCCCTTTCGGGAAGATGTGAGGCACTCAAGTGAGTTATAAACTTTACTCTTCTCTAAGTGGCAAGGAGATTAGGCGAATACCAAGCCTAATGATCTGATTCTTTTACAGGAATAAAAATGTTATATTTAAATTAACACACGAGATCATGGCCAGGTGGTTAGGGCGTTCGACTCGCATTTTGCGGGTCGCGAGTTCGAATCACGGTTCCACCAAACATGCTCGCCCTTACAGCTGTGCGGGCGTTATAAAGTTTCGGTCAATCCTATTATTCGTTGGTAAAAGAGTTGGCGTTGGGTGTTGATGACTAGCTGCCTTCCCTCTAATATTTCACTGCTAAATTAGGGATGGCTAACGCAGATAGCCTTCGTGTTGCTTTGCGCGAAATTCAGAACAAAACCAACCAAAGAAAGAACGATATTCGTTTGATATGTCAGGAAAGTCGGAAAAATAATTGAATCTGATTTTCATAATTGTTTGATTTTTTGTCGATGGGATGGCATCTGATCACTTAGAAGACATTGAGGATATCGATCGCTAGTGCCCCTTGGTGGCTTATAATGCCAAAAAATCGGGTTTCAATACCACTGGTGGGAACAGCACAGATAGCCAGTCCACTGTATAACAGAAACGATCACCAGTTAGTTTCTGTTATTCTATAAGAGTTCGAATCCCGCTCAGGGCGATTTGTTTGAAATTCTCATTCGATAGCTAATATACAATAATTTCAAAAAGTTATAATTCCTAATTCATTTGTGACCAAAGAGCCAGCTCAATAGTATCTAAACTGTTATTTGAAACCTATAAACCAATCAACAGGCTAGTTCTTATCCATCTCTAAACAGGAATATTCCTAATTCATTTGTGACCAAAGAGCCAGCTCAACAGTATCTAGAGTGTTATTTGAAACCTATAAACCAATCAACAGACTAGTTCTTGTCCATCTCTAAAGAGAAACATTGCTAATTTATTAGATATGAAACAGTCTGCCTAACAATATCGAATTTCTTATTTAAATTAAACGGAGTAGCCCAATAATGAGTTGTTCTCATTCACTTCTAAACAGAAACCTTGCTAATTAATTAGATATAAAACAGCCTAATCAACAATATCTTATACATATTAAAACATAATTTTGTTTTGTGTTAAAGATCCAATCTGTTCACAACATATTACGTCATTATTTATTCTTCTTTTATTAATACAAAGTAAGTGTTTTTTATGGGTTTTTTCGTGGACCCAAAATCTCCTATTATTAGTTGGATTTGATCGTCTTCTCGAGAATATATTATATTCAACACAAATTAATTTAAAAACAGTTGCATTAACCAAAACAGTTACTAAATTATTTCTATATATAGTGTTAAATCAATTGAGGTAAAACCGTAATTTTTTAGGTTCAAACAACTAGCACAATGTATAATGTTAATAACATTGGTTTATAATATCGTCGTGTAAATCAAACACAAAAGGAAGAATTACCATTTGAATTAATATAGATGTATCACTTCAATAAAACTGCCATAGAAACAACACTGAACATTATTCTTACTTAAATGTCAGCCCATCTCCAGTTCTAAAAAGTTCCTCTCCTGAAAGTCCGTCATAACCGAACCTTTGTCGTCCCTCGTCACTCAACTTATTATCAGCCATTAGTAATTAATTTAATAACAATTCACCATTTTCTACAACCATCTACTCACGTTATTTCACTTTATACATCCTTCCGTTCTATATTAATCTCGTTTACAGCTGTTCATTGACTCTGATTAGTCATGTGGATTGCTCTTTCGTCCAATAAAATGGCATCAACTAAGTAGCGTTAGTATCAAATGATTCTGAAGAGATTCTTTAATTACTACGTTACAGCAACTCACTTTTTTTATGTAATCATTTACATTGCATGTTTAAGTTGCTTCTAATTAACTAACGTTAATTTAATCGTCAGCTTATGGTCATGTATAAAAGGCAAAGAATAAGGTCTGTACGATAGGGACTTCACATACAAATGACGGCCAAAAAATAAATATTTGTTGTGGAAGTTATTTCCCCTTTGAAGGAGCTACTATACAAAATTCTAGCAAAAATGAGGTCCATTTGTTCAAACATGATTAGGTAAAGCTCTTTTTTTTACTATTTTGCATCCATTTTCTAATGTTAGCGTCATCTTTAAACAACTTCAGTATTTATTGCATGTTGTTCATTCTTATGAGAAGCGATAATTATAAAAATATGATATCATTTAAACATGGCTATTTTGTCATAAAAACTATTTTGTAGTGAAGTGTCATAATACATTACTTCTCATATTTCGAAATTTCTAAACCTTTCACATTGGGATGTAAATGGACATGCAAAAGGTCTCCGTTGAATAAATCTATATTAATTTTATTTATAGCCCACGTATCATTCAATGTAGTAGAAACTTATTCAATAGATATAGTCGGTATTCAAAGATATTTGCCACAATGCTTATCGAGTGACTCACATTAAAGTCATGTTAGTAAGATATCGTTTAGTCATGCTGAAGAAATGTGTCGTAAGCTATGTAAATAGTGGACCTAAAGGGAAAAGGCGCGTATATGGACTGAGTTGTTTTAAAAGAGAGAAGAAACGACCGCTAAAGTTGGTGTAAGTTATAACTAATGTCATTAAAAGTACTATTATTTCCAACGCTGTGCATCTGGTGACATCTCTCTCTCGACGTGAGAGTGAAACTGATGCAAACTACGCTTCTCCTCTACATTCCATTATTGGATCATCCTTGACTTAATTGTAAACGTTATACTCATTTCAACGGACAGCAAACATGATAAATGTACTCAGCCCTTCTACCATTTTTGGAACACGAACTCAAGTATTTGTTGTGCATAGTGCTATACCTGATGAATCACTGTACTGCAAAAGTAAACTAGATAGAGAATATTTTGTGCCCTAATCTTGCCAGGAAAGGTGAAAAACTATCATTTGTAAGAGAAAGGATGTGGTTAATATTTTAAGGAATACAAGGGCAGTAGCGAAAAGATTAATTTAAATAGATTTTGATAAGTCTCATAAGTTAATTCACACTAAAAGCTTTAATTTTATTGCGCTGTCCCTAGTTTCAGTTAGATTGTCACTTTTAGGACTCCATCTTTGAAGAATATCCATGAAAGATCTGAAGGAATCGGGTTGGAGGAATTTCCTCGTTAAACTACATATTGAATTATTCAACCTTACTACAATTCTAGATTTAGAAAATGTTTTTGATGTAAAGAAAGCAATGAAAAATGGTCTGCTTTGGTGAGCGATTTCTCTCCTCCTCTGTATTTTGAATTTTGATACTCATCCACCAAGAATTGATATCAAACCACATCTATCGCTTTCAAGGGGCATAAGGAAGAGAAGAACTCGAAATTTTGTATGCTTATTTATAAAAAGCATGCCAAGTATGCATTCCAGAGGCGAAGTTACAGTACGCTCAAGTAGCAGTCACTTGTCAAACTAATGATGGTCCTAACCACTGCTTTGTACATTGTAGCAGTCACTTGACAAACTAATGATGGTTCTAACCACTGCTTTGTACATTGTAGCAGTCACTTGACAAACTAATGACGGTTCTAACCACTGCTTTGTACATTGTAGCAGTCCTTTGTCATACTTTACTAAAAGGCGAAATAATGATATAACAGTTATTCATCACCTATTTTGAAAGAACACCGAAATCATTTGAACCTGAATACAACCACATGACGTTGTATTGTGGATAGAGGATTTAAGGATGCAGTGGACCTCCTCCACAAACTAGGTGTTGAAACCCAAATGTTATTTCTTCAACGAAAAGTTTATAACCAGTATTCTACAGAGAAATCCAATATTTCAAGGCTTGTCACAAATGTGCATTGTATGGTAAAAGCAATAAAATTTCGCTTAATGCAGTAGAAGCTGTGGACATGGTTTTACCAACCTACGGGTTTTTCTCTGACCAAAATTATAATGATGAATAATTCTTCATGATATTTACAACAACGAATAATCTACAAGATGAAACTTTTGCCTACCCTTTGAATTTCTTTAATCACATGTACTGTATTCATGTTACCACACAAGTGTTGAAAGCAATAAAAATGATCAGTAAAAATCGTTTTTAATCTAGCCCATACTAACCACAAATTATCATATTTTGCATACCATGTACACTAAGTGTTGAGATTCCACCTCCATTCGCTGTCTGATCCATATCTTCAGGTATGAAAACTAGTCTTGGGAGTAGGTGATATATATATATATGCTGTTTGAGTGCCAGGAGTCACATCACTGGCATAATGTGTTGTGCCTGCAAGACACGGGCAATACCAAGATAGTATAGGTGGATCACTCTAACTGTCATGACGAATCCAGGGAGAATACGTTACCTCAAACATGAATGAATCCGTTAAATTAAAGTAATGTAGAGAAATGGTAAATTATTGATTTTCTATTAAATGTTAGTCGGTTAAAAAGTTAATCGAATACGAAAGTTATTTTTCTTTTATTAAATTAATTTTAGCCCAGAAACTCGGATAGCTAGCATAAAATTACTCAGTAGAACAGATAATTTAGGTAAGTTATCCAATAAAACAGATAACTCAGACAACAAATTAACTAGAAAGACGGATAGCTTAGATAACAAACCACCCAGCAAGAGAGATAGCATATGATGACTAGTTACCCATAAGGTCGAATAGCTTAGGGTGACTAGTTACCCAACAAGACAGATAGCCTACGATAACTAGTTGGCCAACAAAATCGAAAAACTTAGATAACAAATTATTCAGCAAGACGGATAGCTTAAGATGACTGGTAATCCAGCAAGACCTATAGCTTTTGGTGGTTCAGTATACAGTAATTCGGAAAACTTAGATAACAAATTACTCATCGAGACTGATGGCTGAGATCCTTAGATGACAAGTTACCCAGCAAGATGGTAACTTAACGAGTTACCCAGTAAGACGAAAGGCTTAGATAATAAGTTGCCGAGCAAAATGGAAATATATATATAAAAAGTTACCAACAAAACACTAAGGGCTTGGAATAGCTAGATATCTAGTAAAATGGGAATTTAGATAAAAAATTAGTAAAGAAAACTAAGAGTATAAAGTAATCATTTATTAAGTGATATATTTGGTATAATGGTACACCCACCAAGATAGACAGCTTAGGTTAGCGAGATGGATATCTTAGGATAACGAGTTATTCACAAGATGGACAAATTACAATAATGAATAACCCAGCAAAGCAAGACAGATAGCTTATGATAACGAGAAAACCAGGCATTGCTCTAGAAAATATCTACTTTCATAGCGAAATGCGTACTTTCATTATCACAGCCTCAAATTTCAATTTAATCTACATGCCAGTCTAACGAATAAAGTTTTCTCCTAGATCTAGCCGCTTGTTACGATCACTTCGAGTTAGTGTTAGTGCAGTATGTAACTTAGGCAAGCATTAAATACTTCTAACAGTTCGGAATTAAAAAAAAAAATATGCGTATATGCATTCAAGTATAAAATGCACAAAAGAAAAAATTAATGAGATATATGTTAATCCACTGGAGTGTAAAATAATAAGAAATGACTGAAACGTATCATACGTTTTAACCAACTCGAGAACAAAATAATAATACTTGGTTAAAATGTACGACACGTTCTGACCAATAAAAGAGAACAACGGTGGTAACTAATCTTAACAGTTAAAGAAAAAAATAATGATACATGGTGAAATGTGCAGCATATTCTAACGAAGTAATGTGAATTTTTTTAATGTAATTAATTGAAATGTACGACACGTACTATCCAACTTAACAGAAAAATTATGATAATTAATAGAAATATATAATATAAATTAACTAACTTACACGATATGAATTTAGGTACTAAACCATAAAGTGGTGAAAATCTACTGAAATATACGATATTATTTAACTAACTCAGCAAAGGAATAATAACCCCAGTTAACAAAATTCTATTGTTTTTCTGTATTTTACAAAATATATTGTGAAGTTTATTGCTTCTACCGACCTGAGTCTAAAAACATAATTGAAAGCTTTCTATCGGGTCTAGATTCCCACAGACCAAACATTTAGTTTTTATCTATGTAGAAATTTATTTGGTTGGGCTATTATGATTACATTGAAATACAATTGCAAACAAAGCATTTATATGACAAACAGTTTATTGATTATATTAAAAGCAAAGTACAAACAAAGGTGACTACATCAGTTTTTATGGTGTACAGTGAGGCATGAATGTATGGTGGGAACAAGTTCAGTACACATAACGAACATCCTGTATAGTCGTACAAGACATTTCACTACTTGCTAAATGTACATAATATTTTCTTATCAATTTTTATTGGATATAGTGTTATTATTACGTGTGAACTAATTATACTATATAAGAAATTTAGCTTATAAATACCTGCAACTATTTATGTGATACAGAGAAACCAAATACATTTCCTCCAGTCTTCTTTTACTGATAAAGTTTAGTTATTTTTTACTGGGAGGGAAAGTCTTTGTTAACCAGTGTAATCAACTAACTTAATAAAAAATAAATAAGATGATAAGTTCTAAGCCAAAAATAATAATTCAGTAACTTAATAAAATTTAATAATTAACTAAATTAACAAAACAAAAAGTTATCGGATAAAATATGAATTTTCTAAATGAAAGGTACAACGGTAAA